TTACAATGTTTATTCTGATATAAAGAGAAGAAATTTTAATTCTTTAATTAGAAATTTGTTTGTTACAAAAATACAACATTAAACAATTTACCATTATATTCACTTATCCTCGAAAAAGCCTTTTTAATCGGAACTTGCTTTTGTGTTAAAGTCTGTGTTTTCATATTAGTTGTATCACTTTCAACAATCTGCAGACTGCATGACCAAGAATCAGAATTAGGATTATCGATGACATGATTATTTTCAGATGTATCTTTTTGTTGAGTTATTACAGCTTTATGCTTTCGCTTCAGGTGGTTTTTTAAGTTTGTCGTATTGTTGTGATGTTTGTAAATATTATTGCACAACGTGCAACGCTTTGATATTACATCATGAAAAATGAAATACTGTTTAATCAAGTCCTTATCAGATTTAGATGCCACTTTATTGGCAATATTTTTTGAAATAGTGCCAGTTGACATTGTCAGTTTTTTACTTCCTCTGGACCTGCAGTTTACAAAGATAATATAAAGATAATATCAAGAACTTCTAAAAATTTAATATTTAAAATGATTTAAACTTGTACTGGATATATGGGACGTATATATAATAACATTCACACACAACAGCATTCCGTAATTTACTGCAAATATACATAATGTAAACTATATAGATTTTCAGTATTTGCAGTGAATAACGGAATACAGCTAATAACTTTTTATGACTTACGTTTTTCTCTGTTATTTTATTCTCGACATACTCTGTAAACATAACCGTTTTATTCTCTATCTCTGCCATGCTAGTCTTAAGCCCGTATCAGACTACCGACTCTGCAAGTCGAACCGACTGCCAACTCTGACTGCCGACCAATAATAGACCCATCACATATTGAATCAGTCTTATTGTGATTGGTCCATTGCGCTAGAGCAGTAGCAACACTATGTCTTTGAGTAGCAAAAACTAGGTGCTGTGATTGGCAGAGAACAATAGCTTCGTGCGCCCTTCCTTTCGAAATTAATAATTTGTAAAAATTGAGAATCGTCGATACGATTCTCTGAAAAATTGGGTCGATTCCGAAAGAATCGAGAAAAGTAGTATGGGGCAGCCATGGAGAGTCATAACAAACCCCCTCCACTCTACCCTGGCGTCAAAACAAACCCCCTCTTCCCCCCGCCGAGCTGTCAAAACAAACCCCCTCCACGCCTCCCCAGACGTTATGGGCGTGGCCTAGACGGGTCCGTCTG